TCCCAGGAACTTTTCACTGGGGTTTTTATTCTTCTTACTTCCCTGTTTACAACACTTCTAAGTGGTTAAATTCTTGCGCATAGGAGGAGCACACAGTGTACAACAACATGAGATAACAAACCCATATCTTGTGCACGTGAAAGCAAGCAGCAAGGGTGGTGATCAGGTCAGCCAATAAATTTCCCAAACACAGACGCTGGGGTAAAGGCCGCTCCGGCCTCGTAGCCATGGGAACAGTGTGCCGCACCCGTGGGCTGACGATTCGGGAGCTATGCGTCCCTACACTAGATGACCTCCTGAGGTCTCTTCCAACACTAATATTCTATGATTCTAAGATTGAAAAAATTGGGTTTGTTTAGTCTGGAAAAGAGAAGACTGAGAGGGGACATAACTGTTTTCAGGTACATAAAAGGTTGTTACAAGGAGGAGAGAGAAAATTTGTTCTTAACCTGTGCGGATAGGACAAGAAGCAATGAGCTTAAATTGCAGCAAGGGAGGTTTAGGTTGGACATTAGGAAAAAATTCCTAACTGTCAGGGTGGTTAAGCACTGGAATAAATTGCCTAGGGAGGTTGTGGAATTTCCATCATTGGAGATTTTTAAGAGCAGGTTGGATGAACATCTGCCAGGAATGGTCTAGATAATACTTAGTCCTGCCATAAGTGTAGGGGACTGGACTAGATGACCTCTCGAGGTCCCTTCCAGTCCTATGATTCTATGAATATCTAGTCAGGAAAGAGAACCTGTTGCTCTCCTGGGCAAGTCTGTTTTCCTCTCCTGAGCAGGAGCAGTAAAATAGCCAGAGTCTTGCTGTGCAATTTGTATAGTGCACCTAAAACTAGCCAGAATAGAATGGGATCTACAACCATTCACCTCCAGTTTGTTGGTCTGAATTTTGCCCAGTTTAGTAAGGAACCAAAAAATGTTACTATCTGACAGCTTTGCAGTGGCTTTTGTGACATGGATCTGTGGGGCTCGTTCCAGTATCTAGTGCACAAGAGCCCACATTCATAAACCACCATCACAGAACCAATTACTGTAGTCCTGTTAATCTTTGTACAAAGGCTAAGGTCTAATGGACCATGGAGAATGCCCTAGCCTCTCCTCCTTAGAGGCGTACTCACCTCATCCCTGAAGAATATTGATAGGGCTGTATGGAAAGAGCTTGCACTACTGTTGTCTGTGCTGCACTCTTTCTGGAAAGGACTCCAATCTCCAAGGGTGTCATGTTGGCAGCTTTCACAAGCAGAAAGTCACTTGAAACTACAACCAACTGATCATGACCTTGAATATTCCTGGTCAATGGGAAATCTAAATGCTGACATAATTACTTATTACAGGTGCTGATAAAACAAGAGTGGTCCAAAGGTGTCTCCAAAGAATGGATGCCTGAACCATCTTAAGCTAGCCCCAGAGTGAATTCTCCATAATGTGTTGGGAGGGAGAGAGATTCCTACTGAGGTACATTTGGCTGAACAGGAGTGGAACTAATGGTAAAGGCAGGCAGCTCTCATGCACTAATGACAGGAGAGCTGGGCCCCTGAGAGGGATGGTACAAAGTGGGAAGCTTCTCCAAGGAATTAGGAAGCTGTGGAATTACCAACTCTACTGTCCCTCCTCATTGTTCCCTGTCCCTGTTCATGCAGGGAGTCTGGATAAATCCAATGCATGAGTTGTTAGTGGCTTAGTCAAGACCGTGAGTTATCCTGCTGTGGGGAGTTCTTGCTGATTAACTGGAGTCCATAGGCATCTGCCAGTGTAAGAGGTGTGAGTCCTGTAACAAGGGGAGTTAACTAGATGGTGCTAGAGCATACTTCTGCGACTGGAGTTCAGGTCTTGGTTAGAAAATACTTGAACAAAGCAACTGTTCCCCTGTCTAGAGCAGGGGCTCTTGACCGTGGGGTGTGAACTGGTGTTAGGGGTTTGCAGCCATTCTGCTCTTCCCATATTGCTAAAGGGCAGGGAGGGCCGAGTTACTGGGGAGGGATCGTAGTATGGCAAAGGCTGACCCTGTCCGGTCTGAAGCTAATAACAGCATGTAAACAAGTCCTTGTACCCAGAGGTACGTTTGGTCTCCCTCAGCTTTCCAGTGAACAGGACCTAGTGCACACAACAGTGTATGGATAGTTTTTAGTTGTAAACAATTCTGGATCAGAATATATTGTACATCTCTTGAATCTAGTTTATTCCTCTCAGTCTCACAAAGGAGGGAGTAAAACTCAGAGGGACATGGTGACTGCTCTGAAATTAGATTCAAGGAGACTCCATTTCTCCCTGTGGCTTTCCCTGGATAGTTTGCAATAATCACTGTGCCTTCTTGGCAGACCAAAGGAACTGCATTAATAAACACACATGCCAGTTTGGCAACAGCTCATGAAAAGAGCTGATGTTCGCTTTGTGGCTGCCACTTGAAGTAGTTGCCTTAGAAATGTCCATGATAATGAAGTAGCTTGCTAATATCTCTTGCTTGGAGAAAACCAGGTCTGCCCTCTAAGTTGAGTAGTGCTACAGAAATGCTGGGGGGAGGAGGGATGATGGAAATGACTCTGAAACCAATGCTTTAAAAAACCAACCCTAGGTGCTGCTAACAACAAAGTGTCAATACATTAATTCTGGGTCTTATCCATCCTTGCCCCTCTCCCCTCCACTTCTTGCTTTGCTCCCATGTGTCCCACCTGCTCTGGATGCCAGGCTGTCATAATGAGCCTGGGTTCTCCATCATTCAGGCAGCTAAATTACAGAACAACCCTTTTTAAACAAAATAACAGCAGTAGATCTTATCAGAATTCCCTGCAGGCAACAAGCTGGCCCAGATAACACTGGCAGAATAGCCAGGTCGCAGGGAAGGCAAAGCTGGGTGCCTGCTATTGCTGTTAATTGTGATAGCAGTGTACATGTGAGTGCATGCACCCCCTCATTCCTTTTCTCCCCTTCCCACTGCTAGCACATCTGACCTCCTAGCCTCAGCAGTCTGGTTTTGTGGCCAATGTGTGGGAGATGGATTCAGGTGGGAGTCTCAGATTCGTATGATCTGGGCCCTGTGGTCTGAGGAGGACCCTTGGAGCAGCAAGCAGCATGTTGTGCAACTGGTTACTGTCCCAGCAGCAGGGCCGGCTCCAGGCACCAAGCACCCAAGCTGGTGCTTGGGGCGGCACCTGGAGGGGGGC